GTCTGTTTGCCAAAACTGTAGACTTTGCAAACCTCGGGGGTTGACAGCTCCTGAAGAAACAGGAGATTGCACAAGCTGACAGTCAGGGCAGGTACTGATGATAGCTTTAGCTTGACTTTCAGAGATTTGAAACATTCGCGCAAGTGTTTGTGTGTTTTGGTGGAAAAAAGCATGACTGAATTTTGCTTGTTCAAAATGTTTGGTGAAGTGTTTGAAATAACCATTGTTAGTTTGGCCGCTCTTGCGTTTCCTTCCACTAAACATCCAGGAAGCGACGAATGAGCCCTGTTGTGAGAAACAAAATATGGATTAATTCTATATTGCAAAGTCTTAAAAAGACATGAAAGCAAATTATATAGTTTCATTACTAACATTCTTTAAAATTGACCCTTCTAATCTCTTAACCACATTAGCAACATAAGCAGAATCTGTGAATAAATTAAAAGGTTGTGGGAAGAACTGAGAAGCCTGAACCACAGCAGCAAGCTCAACAATTTGAGTATACCCTTCTACTATTTTAATGTCGGACTCCCAAGCATTAGTTTTTTGATTCAGCCAAGTTAGGACTGATTTGTGACTTTTACTAGAGCCATCAGTGAAGAGGGTCACTGCATTTAAAGGTTCTTCACTTAATTTAGGTGTTTCTCTGAAATTCAATTTTGCCTGCAATAGTTTGTGAGCTGGGTAGTGAACAGAACAAATTCCTAGGAAACCCAAGAATGCATATTGTAAATCATCAGAATTTTGCATTGCCCAATGGAGGTAATCTTTTTCAATGGTAAATAGATAACTGAAAATTCTTGGCCTGCTAAAGTTAGCAATCTGGTTCTGGCCTTAATGACAATGTGTGCAACCATTTCTAAAACTGTGAAAATAGTCTTTGGAAACCTGTAGGGAGGAAAAATCCACTCTATTATCAACAAAGTATCTACCTCAGAAGGGTCCCACTGAAAAATGAGACCACAAAGTTGCATCTTCTCTCCTAAAACTGCAAAAAAGAAAGATGTGTCCAGAATGCAGCAATGAGCTTGTCGTCTTTGAAGAGTTGATATTGCAGCCTTGGATTTTTGTTGTAGCCTTGGATTTTTGTCATAGAAATGCCAAGTCCAGCACTCTGGATTTCAGTCCCAACACTAGCACGGGTTCGCTGCATCTCTGTTTGGGTTGAAGCTGCGATGAGCAAATCATCCATGCAGTGTAGAATCTTGGATCTTGAAAACTTCTGTGAATTGATGACAAAACTTGTACAAAAAGATATTAGCAAATCACATACAACATGACAACCATATCTTAGGAAGGTAGAAAGTTGTTTTGGTTGGAATGTTTACACATGACAATCCTTTTTTAATATGACCAGGTTTACAACAAGCAAAGCAATGAGGCCTTTTGTCAGAGTCCAACTGCACAGTGCTAACAGAATTTTCCCAATTTTTTCCTTGTTTCTCTAAAAGCTTTTCAATTTTATCCATTCATTGTGTCAAATTATCTTCCAATGTTTTTCCTAAAGCATTGACCTGTAAATTTGCAAGATTTTGTGGACCCATAAGTCTGCTGCAAGCTGTTAGCATTTGCGTGACAGCTGGAGGCTGATCAGGCAAAGTTAAAATAATTTTTCTTCATTCATCATTAGCATTTACAAAAGCAAGGTTTTGAACAATATAGGAACAGGCCTGTTCATCTGGATATTGCCTTTCAACTGCTTGAGTTAATCTATCCAAAAACAAACCATAGGATTCTGCTTCACCTTGTTTAATCAGCGGATAAGAATTTACATGTGCGCTAGCTGGCTCTACTGAAAACAAGGCCTTCCTAGCAGCATCTTTAATGTCTGCTAATACAGGGCAAGGCAAGTCTACTGCTTGATTCTCTGCTCTATGGTAAGGTGCATCACCTGCTAATTGAACAACATCTAAATCTGCATAATCAGTATCTGCATATTTTTCAGCCAACTTATTAAGAAGTTTTTTCCATTGTAATTCCCATAGTAGGTACTGTGAATTGGTTTAAACAAGAGAAGCCACATTTCGACAGTCAGCAGGGACTAAATCATAAGAATTAAAAATACTTTTCAGCACATTGTTAAAATAGGGAGAAGAGAACCCACTTTCTTTCAAAGCTTGATGTAATTCCTTTATGTCATGGTGAGTAAGTCTTTCGTATTGTGGGTTACGATCATTACGACCATATCTTACAGGTAATGCAAGGAGTTGTTTCTTTGAGTCTAAATCTTTTTCTAATTTTTGGTTAATGTAAGACCAATTAGGCAAACTTAATGGGAAGTCAGAACTGGAGCTGACAGTTTCACTGACAGCAGCTGTTCCGAGGACCCTGCCAGTGTCCGAATTCTTGGCAGGGATGTTGCTGTAGCAACAAAGTTTCCTGGGAACTCCGCCGATATGGACAGAAGAACCTGAATTCTTGGCAGAGACATCCAAACAACACGCCCCCCTTGGAGCCCTGCCATGAGGGACAGAGGAGGGCTCAGCCAAACAACACACCCCCTCCGAAGCCCTGCCAAAAGGGGCTGAGTGAAGGGCGTGTTCTCTGGACCCTGGAGGAAAGCCAAGATTTGAACTCCCCTGGGAAAGCAACCTTGGGTTTGTACTTTTGAGAATCTCCAAAGAATAATGGCATGTTTCACAAAGTCCCTTTGCCTGTGAAGATTCAGCTGGAGAGCAGCCAACATCAGACTGAGAATTTAACACCCTATCCCTTCTCTCAACAGCAAAAGAAATAGATTCCGAAATCTTCAAAATCTCAGCTTGTTTCTCCCCAGAAACCCTTCAAAAATCTCCTGCTCTTTCCTCAAGCTTCTGCCCGGGTAGAGTCCCCCTAGTCTGGCTCAATTCTTGGCTGCTGCCTGCCGCATTTGTCCTCCCCCCTGTCCTGTCCTGTGGACAAGCCTCACTCACTGCTATTTCATCCTATACACCAAAAGGCTGGCGAACAACAGAAAAACCTGGCAGAGGCTTATTTGAACAATTTACCAAAAAAGAACTCCCCGAATCACAAAGTACCCTACCCACTTGAACCGAATCCGAGGGGTTGCCTTCCCGGAAAGGGAAAACAGGGACAGAAGCGACTCCCACAGCCCCCCGACCAGACACAGCAGACTCTAAACCAGTTTCAGCTGCCACTGCTTTTACAATTTCAGAACACATAATTCCTTTATCACAAAACCTCTGCAAATTCACATCTGCCCCCCTCCACATGGCTTGCACCCGCCCCCAGACAAATTTCACGGACTCTTACGTTCCCGGAACACAACGAAAATTCCAAACACTTTTCCCGACATGGAAAGAGTTAATAATTTCCTGGAGGGGTGCTAGAGAGATTATTTTCTGCCACAGGGACACAGAGAGACTTGGGGGAAACAGAAGATCCGACCCAATCTGAAAGCCGTTCTGGTTCCCAGTTTCCGGAGAACGGGACGCAGCCAGCATTTCCGGGAGAAGCACCGGATGAATCAGGAGGGAGAGAATCATCCCGACCGATACCCGAAAATCTCCCCGAGAGGGACGCGGGCTCAATTTTACTTGGATTTAAAGAATCTGAGCAAGATACTTTGTTTTGTGGTTCAGAACTGTCTTGGTTACTGTCAGTTTGTTTGAAACACTCCAGCAAAGCCCTGGAGGTAGGGGATAAGTTTACTTAGACTCTCATCTTTTTTGAGAGAGAACAAATTATAGATGTTCCAGTTTATTTGATCCCAAAAATCAAAGGTAAAAGCAGACTGTAAATTTATATTTTGAGTGTTCGCTTTCACCCAAATGAGTAAATCTTTAAGTTCAGTTTTTGAGATATCTGAACGTCCTTTATGCTGTAAAATCTTCTCAAGCTTGTAAAAAACATCCCATTCTGTTTTAGATAAATGACTTCCCATTTCCATAACCCAGGAGCCCCTAGAAAAAATTACTTACAAACACAGAAGATGCAAATGACGAGGGGATTAAATATTTCTCCTGATTAACACCTGGGTCTCCGACAGCCGGGTTTTTCCATGATTTTCTTTTTTATCTTAGTCTACTTATCTTCCTCACAGAGGATAGGCACCATTTTGCCATCGGCACATTATATACAGCCACAAACAGGGACAGGACACCCAAAATCAGTGCCATGAGCTGTTTATTTCAAACATCAGTATCAGTACATTGTTAGGACAATGGAGACAACAGATGTGAACAGCTCCCTGATTCAAATGGAATGCCAAGGAAACACAACATTACAGCATAGCATAAAGCCATCTCAGTCCAAGTTTCAGCCAATCCCACACAGAGCAACAACATATTGACAATAATTCTATCCAATCGTAAGAAACACATGTAACTGTAGTTAACACAATAGAGACTTATTCTTTAACACAATGGCTCATTTATGAGAGACAAAGCCCAGAGACTCATTCATATTAACCTCCTAAAGATATACATCAAATAAACCTGTTGCAACCTAAAAGGGCAAATCACAGAGGCTTATTGTTATTCTATTATTCTTCTACGTTATTCTATTTCTCATGTCTGCTCTACAGCTTAGAAAACTTTTTCTGCTGCATTAGCACTGTTCACAAATCTGCTGTCTGAGGCCTGTCTTTTTTTACCACTTTCTCAAAACCCTCTAATTTTATGGATCCCAACAGAAGTAATTAAGGTTCCACTGAAAATGCAACTTCTTGACCTAAGGCAAAAGTACTAAATTTCAACTGAGTTTTACTTTATAATCTCAGGTTCGGCTTCATAGCTGTGTAACATTTTATTGCTGATGGTGGAAACAGAGCTCTTGTATCCTCCTTTTGTTTTTGTAGTGGAAGTTCACAAAGGTATAAAAAGCCCCTGAAAACCCATTTCCTTCCCTTCAAAAAGCAAAGCCTATGATGGGGGCAAATATATATAATTTTTTCTATTTAGGGTGCTGCAAACAAGCACTTTTAAATGTTCACTTCCATTGTAGGACTGGCGGTGGGGTGGCCAGGGTTTGTCCTTTTTTCACCAGGGCTGGGATAAGTTGTCTTATGATGCCTGGATCTTGTATTGCTGAGCTGAGCTTTGGAGCTTCCGTCCCTTAAACCCTTCTGGATGACACCTGCCCCAGGTCAGCTCTGGCCCTTGGAGCTCTAAAAGTGCTGCCAGCCCCTCACCCAGCCCTGAAGGTAGGTAGGGATGGGAAGCTGTGCCTTGCCTGCATCTCCCTGAGAGCAATTTCCATGCAGAAGTTTAGGCCTGGCTCAGGGAGAGGGTGTGTAAAACTCACACTACAGCTGTCTGGAAATCCAGCCAAATGGGAATATACCCAAACCTCTTTAAAAAGCAATAAAGCAAGAAAGTGATGTGAAATCTTTAGAAAATCAGATGCTCCCATTTTGTCACAGAAGAGCATTCCACACTGTCTTTTTATTAACTTTGCAGGCATTCTTGAACAGCCTTCTCTTGTTGTCCCTCCTTCTTCCCCTTCAACCTTTCTAAAGGTTTTCCTGGAAAGAGTGGACAAGGAAATGGCTGATGCTCAATGGAAAACTAAAAGCCAACTGTTTTAGAATGACTTACAGGAACAAACTTTGCTCTATTTGTCTGGGAAAACTTTACTTGGTTAGCTCTCTTGGATGAATCACCAGCAGGAAAGCACTGCTGGTCTGGTCTCTACTGCATCCTCTTGCACCTCATCTCCAGAATATGTGCTGTTCATCCTATCTGGAGCTTGTTGTTGCCTTAGAATTCTCCCTTTTTGGCTGGACAGGGTTGCTGCTACTGTTTGTTAACAAGCAGAGTTAAAATATGCTGCTGCTTTTTGCTTTGTGCCGTGATGCAGATTTGTCTGACCCCAGCACCAGGAGCTGGATGAGTGGAGAGCCTTGAGCTTGGCTTGCCAGAGCAGTGAATAGCTGCTCCTGGAGCCTGGATCACTGCTGTCACAACCCCCTTGCTACAGAGCAGCGGTACAGCAGGAGCTCCTGCTGCACATCTATTGCATTCATATAGCTGTTATATTATTTCTAGAGTCCTGTACCTTATGAGCAATTCCTCTCAGCAGTGTTGCTCTTGCTGCATCATCAGGGCTCCTCCAAGGCTCACCCTGACCAGAAAGCCCACCCCCTTTTATCCCAGTTGCCTTCATGAGCCACAGCTGCTGCCCAATTAAGGACTTCACAGCTGTAGCCCATTTAGAACAACTAGGATTGGGGCAAGGCCACTTATACAATACATAGATTTTACAAGGACTCCTACTACACACATCCACAGGGGCTTAAAACATTCTGACAAGTAAACTCTAAGGGCTGGCTTGGCGCAGGATCAGATAGAGTTTGTCAGGGCTGCTCCAGCCTCATGGTTCATTGGAAATTACCCATCTTCCCCCAGCTGGCATGGCCCTGGCACGTAGCTCCCAGCCAGCTGCAGTGCTCAGGGGAATCCAGGCCCCCTGTGCTTGGACCTGAGCAGGACCAGTTCTGGACTGTGGGGAGCTGCTGGTGTTCACTCCTGGTGAGGGTGATGCCATGGCTGGAGTGAGCAAGGCCTGTTCCACCCTGCAGCTGGCAAATACTGCAAAGGAGCAATATTTTAGGGGGGCAGGCAGATCCCAGGGGACTGCCAATGTGCTGGGTAACCCAGCCCAGGCAAAGCTTTGCTGGGGCACAGACCACTGAGCCTCACCGGGGAGGAGCTGGTGTGATCCGCAGCCTTCACAAACCCAGAGGTGGCTGAAGGGGTGCAGCCCAAGCCTGGAGGATCTATCTCTGTCAGAATGAGGAGTTCAGTATTTGTGGAAGAGGAGATGGATTGTGTTTGCTCAGCAGTCCTGGGGGAAGCTGTGTCCTGGGGAGTAGAGAGTGGGAGGCAAAGGGAAAAACAGAGAGCAATTTAAAGGAGTCCATCATTCACTGCCTGTGCTTGAGGTCAGCAAGGAGGCTGTTTGGGAGCTTATGGCACTGCTGCTGCATTGTGGCATTTACTAACACAGCTTCTAAATCCAAGGGGGGGAGAGAGAGAAAGAAAATTCAAAATAAACCGAAATTTTTAGTTTAATATAAAATAAAATCTGTTAAATACAAAAAGTGGGAATAACTTTCTCCCTGTCAAAATACTTTTGGATACAGTTTGATGTGCAGACTGCCTCATTTTCATCCGTTTTGCAATAAAAAGCACTCGACTTCTCACCGGGGCTGGCTCTGGCAATATCCCTCAGTGACGCATTTGCAGTTGGCAGGGGAAGGAGGGAGAGGGTTCATGTGGGGTCAGACACATCCCAAAAGGGTGTTCCTCCAAGCGGGGAGAGCTGCAGTGCAGAGATGCAGCTGCGGTGGCGCCTTGTCCTTGGAAAGGGCCTGCAGGGCTGGGGAGGGACAGCAGTGTTCCTGTGCCAGCTCCCATGCGGGTTCAGCAGAGCCCTTCCCTGGGTTTTGGTCCTGCTGGCTCCCTGCGTGCTCCTTGTGGTTTGAGGAGGGGCTGTGATGAGCTGGGGCAAATCTTTCTGCCAGGGCTGTTCTCTGTGGGCTTTGGGTGATGCTTGGGTAGAGTTTGCCATGTGTTTGTGTCTCAACACCCTCAGTTACTCCTGTAAGAGGATACCTGCTCTTCCCTGCAGCCTTTAGGACAGCCTGGAAAGTGTCAATGTCTGGGTGCCACAAGCAGTGCTGGTCAAAACCCAGTGTTTGTGTTCCCTTTTGGTGTCCTCAGGTGATTATGTGTATGAGCCACACTGCTACTGCCAGATAATTGACCGCTCAATGTTTTCAGCATTTAAAAAAATCTACTTTTCTTGTTCTAAATGATTTCCAAACAGGAGCTGATTGTCTAGATTATTCCCCTTGTACCAGAGAGTTCATCTTCCCGTGTTCAGCACAGGGTCTAGTCCAGTAGTAGGGCTTTGGTTGCTCTGGCAAACAGTGATGATCAGGAGGAAGAATGACAGTGATGTGAAACAAAATACACTGAGCTGGACTGGTTTTCTTTGCAGGCATTTTGTTTTCTGACAGCTGCAGAACTCTTTGCCTGAGGATCCCGTGCTGAGAAAAATACCCTTGGGAAAAGCAGTTCAAAGGCATTTTTGGGAGAAGCAGCTTTCTTCCAGTCCAGCCTTGACAAAAGCACTCACAGTCCAAAACCCCTCTGACCTCTCCCAGCAATGGGCTGGACTCCTCAGAAGCCACAAGCCTTCCTTTCTCCAGTTCTTAACTAGAGCCATCCCAGATACCAAGGATTTGGCATCTGAATCATACAATTTGTCAGTGACCTGTGCTATTTGGAGCCTCGGGAACGTGCCACCAGGATGCAGAGCAAGGCTCTGTTTATAAGTCACGCTGCTGCTTTAACATGTCCTGGAGGGCAGGTCTCAGGGACATCAGCTCTGAGGTGAAAGCTCCCCTGTTCCCCCTGACAGGAGAGATGCCCAGCCCTCCCTGGTTGTGGTTTGGGACTGCAGCTGGGGACTCTGGGGGAGGAGGGCACCCAGCCTGGCTGTGCTCAGAGCTGGCATTGGCCTGACCTGCTGGTAATTATCTGACCCCTCTTAATTAAGGGAGGGAGCCCTGGTTGGGGTGATCATCACCACAGTGGCTCCTTGCTGGTGCTGAGCTGTGCAGGGCAGCAGTGTGGGGCTGCAGACCAGGCAGCTTTCTGAGCAAGGATATTTTAACAGGGGTTGCCAGAGCCCACACAGACCTCTGTATGCACTGAGCAGCCTCTTTATCCCAGGAGGGCATTAAAGGCAGCCCTGGAAGGGAAAATTACAGGATAGGGGGGCTAGGAAGTCATGGGAAAGGAGACAGAAAAGATGTTAACTGAGGGCCTAATTAGCACAAGTGAAAAAATGCTAATAGGGTGAAGAGAGACTGGGAAGGGAGGGGAGAGCTGTGTGTATGTAGAGACCAGCTGGTGGAGAGAAACCAGATGAAAGGGAAGAAACCAGAAA